CGTTGTGGACTTGGCTTAACTAATGTAAAGATTTAATTATGAGTAAAGTAATACTTGAATACATTCCCAGTAATACAATAAAAGTCAGGAATAGGTATAAATCAAGGGTTTCAAATGTATATAAAATAATTTAAAGATTAAGTACTGGCAATGTCTGGGCAAGTAATATTGAGTGCAAATGTTAGTGTGGTCGAAGACTGAGTGAGAAACGAATTAGATGAAAACGCAGCAGCAACAAAAAATAAAGGGGTGCCATCTGGAACTCCCTACCGTAGATACCCATTAGCCCCTTGCTGTGAATGATGGTGGTGGTGGTTTCTATTTCTGCCAATAGCCACATTTTTATGGTATTCCTTAAAAAAAGTAGTATTGGCATATAATTCACAAACCATACAATTCAATAGTTCAATCACATCAAGAAGAGTTGTACAGTCATCACCACAATCGGTTTTTGAACATGTTCTTGGTTCTTGTACTTGTTGCTATTAGCTCCACATTTTCTCCCAGCCTCCCGTGCAATGCATCCAAAGAACCATTAATCCAGTTATTATCTCTATCCTTTACCTATATGGGTTTTCATTAAAAACAAAACAAACCATTAAAAAACAAAAATAAAAACAAAACACAACAGTAATAAAATAAAACAGAAAACACCTCAATTGGAAAGAAACAGAAAAAAATTTAAACTAGAACAAATTTAAAATAAGCTCAAAAGGAAATCAAAAAGGTGTTACAGTGTAGCCTAACTGCATCTGTAATAATCCACTTTCCAATGCACCATGTGAGATAACCAGGCTATTTACAGCTCTGGTCCATGGTCAAAGGGGATTCACCAGAGGCTTAATCCACGTATATTTCCCCTTCACTTATTTTTTTACAATGAACTTTAAAATGGATCAAAAGGAGATCAAATGACAAGATATTACATTTTATCCTAACTACATCTGCCATGATCAACGTTACAATGCTCTCTGTCTGATAACAAGGCTATTTCCATCCCTCAGCGACAATTAGAGGATATTCATGGGAGGCACAACCCCACGTTCCTCCTATAAATGGATTTTGGACTATCGCAATTTAAACTCTGATCCCATTCCCTCCTTTGGATATGGGTTTTATTATTTACAATCCTTGGATCACATAGACTGGTGTGCTCCTTCCATGTGGACTTTGTTGACACCTCACTTAGATGACTGCTTGTTTGAAGACAATCCTTTAAGATCCCAGACACTATTCCCTCTGATAGACAAGCACCATTTAGTTTCTTCACTACATTTTGCCATAGCACAGTAGTTCTCAACCTTTCTAATGCCGAGATCCTTTAATACAGTTCCTCATGTTGTGGTGACTCCCAAACCATAACATTATTTTCATTGTTACTTCATAAATGTAATTTTGCTACTATTATGAATTGGGTGAGCCCTGTGAAAGGGTCATTCAGTGCCCAAAGGGGTCACGACCCACAGGTTGAGAACTGCTTTGGCATAGCACCTATAGCTTCAGTGATCATTTCACGAGGGTGAGCATCATGCAGGGCCACATCAAAGAACTAATTGTTATTAGATTGGGTCTAGAATTAAGTGTGAGCCCCAGATCCATTCATATGTCTATACTTTATATATGTCTCTGGTTCACCTTAGAGATATCATTGTCTGTTTACATTAGGGAACATTATCAATCATCCCCTGGAACATAAGCTAATTCTATTGATAGTGTCCTTAATTTAGCCAATGGTATAGAATTTAAAACACTATTGAGGAAAGGTAACTATATGAGTAAAGGCCAACTGTGAACCACAGTACATGAATTGTTGACTTGTACAGATTAAAGTCTTATGTGACAGGACACTAGCCACACAAACAACGGGTTGGTGATAGGACAAACCTTTCAGTAATATTCATCCACAATGGCAGAGCCACACTGCTCAGATTAACATATCTCATAACAAAGCTGGGAAAGCATTTAAATAATAAGTATACCATAGTTCCTGTCCACCTTTCATGGGCACCCCAGGGCAAGAGGTCCTAACCTAAGTCCAATGTCTGCCAATTCTATGCCCTCGGCATAGTAGTCTGCTTCTCCTTATACTAGGGAGTCTCAGCGTAAGAACAAGGTTTTGAGTTAGAGGTAAAGCCCCACTCACTTAGTGGCGTTTCCACATCAAGTCCTTCTGGGATGGCCTATGAAGGGTATTGTGTGCCTCAAAAGAACCGAGTCTAAAGTACCAGTCATCTAAAGCACACACCCTGGGTCATCAAGGGCTGAATAGAAACTAGTTTAGAAGTGTCCGGTTGGGAACATAGTACCAGGCACATTCTTCCCTTGGGTTCTATATAGGTATTGTGAAGTGTTTTCCCCCAATGGGAGGTTGCTTCTCCCCATTTTGCTATGAACACAAATATAATTGCCTGCTCTGAGACATGCTTGTCCACCCCACCATGCCCACAATCTTGACCTGAATTTCCAGTAGAGTTTCTTTATCTGGGAAGACTGTTTGTAATAGCCACATATTTTTATCCCAGTGCTTATTTATCAGTTTTTCTTCTTAAAAAAGAAAGAAATTGGCATATAGCTGTACTAGTCCCTTCAGTTAATTTATGATTGATGCTTATGTTTCGCTAGCTCATTTAATTTACCTTCACTTACACACACACACTCCAGAAGATCTTTCAGAATAGGGGCCATCGGTCCTGTTAGTTTGCCCTATAGGATGATGTTAAGTATATTTAGAAATAAATCATAATAATAGAATAATAATTTCTTTATTTTTATGATGTATGTGCAGCAAACACAAAGTACTTAGTATGTATGAAGCACTTTGAAGGAAACTTTGAAATATAAATTAATTTTATCTTCCCAACAACCTATGCTATAGGCGTTATCATTGTTTTCATTTTATAGAGTCGAAACTGAGGAGCCATGAACTAAGTAAATCGCTGATGTCATGCAGCAGAAGAGCTAGGACTTGGACATAGGCAAAGTGGCCGTGGAATGAATGTGCTCTAGCCATGACACTACAGTCTTCTCTGACGTTTGGTCACCTTAGAATAGACATATGCTACATAGAATTTCCAAAGCTGTAAATCTTGACCAAAGCCTATTGTGTTATCTTTCTCCTGAGGAGAGGCTCTCTCTTGGATATTGAGTTGATTCAACTCAGAGTGACCCTATAGGACAGGACAGAACGGTCCCTGTGAGTTCCAAGACTGTAATGTTTTACAGGAGTAGAAAGCCTCATCGTTCTCCCAAGGAGTGGCTAGTGGATTTGAACTGTTGACTTTGCGGCTGGCAGCCCAATGTGTAACCACTAAACAACCCATTAACCTTTCTATGTGAAGCCCCACTGCTGTTGTGAGGACCTGCCTTTGAGTTGATTCTGACTCAGAGTGACCTGCCTGCACCATCCTCAGGATTGCTCTTAGGTGTGAGCTCATTGCTGCAACCGCAGGGTCAATCTATCTCATCGAGCGCCTTCTGCTTCTTTGCTGTCCTACTTTACCAAGCACGGTGCCCTTCCCCGGGCACGTCTCTCTCTTGACGATATTTCCAAAGGACTTGCGATGAAGTCTCCCACCCTTGCCTCTAAGGAGCATTCTGGCTGTACTTCTTCCAGGACAGATTTGCTTGTTCTTTTGGCCGTTCGTGGCACCTTCCATACAGCAGCACCGCTATGGGGCTTCAATTTGTCTTTAGGTGTTGCTTGGTGGGACAGCCCTCCAGCTCCACTCCATTCAGAATGGTTAGCATGGTAGCCTGAATTATACCAGGCATAGTTTAATTTTTAAAAATTCTATCACATACCAGTCTGTCACTCGAAATGGAATGTGGTGCTTATTATGTTTCATTTTCCCTCGGAATAGCAGGAAGGACTCCAGATGCTTACATTAAAGCAGGGATTTAATTTAACTGTATTGCCAATAGTGCTCGCTTAGGATGCACTTTGCTCTCATTCCTTACGCAGACTCACAGTATTTATCTTTGGTGTGGGAGCAGCTTCATGACTTGATTCAGAATGAGCAGTGTCCCCTACCCACCCACCCCACCACCACACACCTTTTGTCATGGTCATGGCCCTTCCTGACCCAGACATGCGGGGCAGGCGGGAAAGATGGCCGAGATTCAAGATAAGGACTGATTGCTGAGGGAAGACTTCCGTTTAGGAATGATACTAAAACGATTTCAGTATTTCAAGGATCACACTTTGGACTGATTTTGAGAACCGGAATGTACTAAATGTCGATAGTCCAGCCACGTAGGATGAAAAAATCTGGCCCACAACCTCTTCAGAAACAGTCCCGGCCGCCGAAGCGAGCTACTTTAGAAATCAGCCAGAAGAGGCAGGGATTGCTGACGACGGCCAGCTTCCCTCATCTGGCCCCTCCTTCCACCCTAGGACCAATCCGAGAATGCCAGCTGTGCTCCCCAACCGGGCACATAGGAGGGTCTGTTCCCACGTTTACAGCCTGCGGGCAGGGCGCCCTTGGAGTCTCACTAAAGCTCTCCCAGCAGCCCGGGGGTGGCATGGCTAGACCTGGGCTGCCACCTGCCTCCCTCATCCTGAGATCACTTCCACAGGGGGTGATGGGGGCCCGAGGGTCGCTGCTGTGAGCCGGAATTAGCTGGATGACAGTGAGGGAATAAGTCAGCGAGAGAGATACTATTTCAGTAGAGTCAGACAGCTGTCTAGATTGGAGTGTAAGCGGTCTTACAAATGTCGGTGCCCGCCCCACTCCCGCTCCTTGTAATTGGTGTGCTTGCCCTCATTGTTGTTGTTGTTGTTGTTGTTGTTAGAGGCATCATTCACAACAGAACGAAACCCGATCGGTCTGGCACCATCCTCACAGGTGTTCCTGGGCTTGCGCCCCTTGTTGCAGCCAGGGTTCACCCCATCTTTTTGAGGGCCTGCCTCGTTTTCACTGACCCATCCCGCCCCTTACCAAGCACGACGCCCTTCTTAGTAGCATTAAAAAAAAAAAAAAAATGGCAGAGAAACAAACCAGAGAGATTAAGGAGAGTTTTATTGTCACACTAGACAGGGCTCACAATTTCACCTATTTCCAAAATCTATAAAAACTCTCAGGACAGAGATTTCTTTACGTCTGTCATGCCAGCCGACAGACGACTTCTACATGGGGCCAAGGAGCGTTCACTTCTTGCTAAACTGAGGCAGCGGTGGTGGCACCTTAATATCTTGGCCCCTCTCCAGCTTCTTCTCACAGTCCACCAGGTAATTGACTCCATCGATGACTATCTGAACAAGCTCGACCTTGGACCGTGAAAAAGATGGGTGATCACAGGCGTGGCTCGACAGGATCAACAAACACCGAGACAAACAGCAACTTGCCACATTAGGGGGGCTTGCTGACAGCGCCTCCTTCTCACCAATGCCCTGAGGGCTGTGGGAGGAGGGCTCTCAGGCAGCCATCGCCAGAGATGGCAGCAGGGGTGCTCCGGTGGGTCCTCGGGCCTCCCGCTTTCTTTAGTTGAGACGAAGTTGCTACCTTCTGTGTGAGGACTGTTCTCATAGATGACAACCATTAGTTTGCACTTCAGATACTTCACCCCTCTAGGCCCCACCCCGCCACTAGCCTCTGCTACAAAATAGCAGAATTTATCTGAAGTCAAACGACACGGTGGCACTGTGACCACGACTCCTACGTGGTCCCTTGGCCTGCTCTGAGTGAGTGCCAACTTGCCGCTGAGCTAGCTGAGCACTGACCACGCTACCCTTCACATCATCTCAGTGACACGGGACATGCTTGTCTGAAGAACGGCTTAAAAGCAAATATGAGCCAAACTAAAGAGTGCCTCAGTAAACAGGTGGCTCGCTGTTTTAAAGAACTTTAGTGAATTATACTGGAAAATAAAATGTTCTCTTTTCAAAATCCATAGTTACATGTCACTTCACAGCCTAGGTGCATCTTGTGAGGTAGGGCATGATGTGATTTGGATATTGTGGCAACACTCGTCTAGTCCTGCTTTGTTTGCACCGTGCTCAGAGGGAGGAACTTTGTCCACTTCATTAGCAGTTCCTCCAGATCTCATGTACAAGGGTAAGCAACAAAGTCTTGCTACAAAAATGACAGAAACGTTTAGTAAACAAAAAGTCAAACTGGGAGGTTGTTTTGCAACATCGCCTCCTACAGCTGTATGCTTCTCATGGAATGCTCCATCTCTCCCTTCACCCAGGCATTGTGTGCTCATGGTTGGCACCACATCCACACGGCAGTCTGGGCATCCTCCCGGGACATACGTGCTGCTCCTGTGAAATGTTCTTTGAGTTTTGAGAACAAAGAGCAGTCTGGAAGGACAAGCTCAGGGGTGCTGGGTGGATGAGGGACAGTTTTCTACTGAGATCCTTGTCTGCCAGTCCTTGCTACCCTTGACGAATGACGGGGGGAAAATTTTTTCCTGGGTACAATATTTTTGCTCTTTTGCTCAACAATGCAGTTTTCAATTTTCTCAAAACTTCCTCACTATGTCACCCTATGACCATCTTGTGTCCTTGGAGAAAATTTTTCAAGATAACTCCTTAGGGCTCCCAAGAAGCAGCTGCCATGCTCTCCAGTTGGCCTCTCTGCCTGTCAGACTGAACTGGCCCGGAGACTCTTGGGAAGCTCCTGTTCCAACTGGGCCTCTTATTGGAAGGCACGTTCACAATGTGGAGGCATGTGTATGACTGAGAGACCGTGTCTGCAGCCACCCATTGATCACAAAGGCATGTCTAAACATGTTGTGTTTGGAATGCATACATGCGTGTATGATCTAGATTGCTAATGGTAGTACTTTCTGACTTATCTTTGTATATGTCAAGATAGATTGTTTTAAAAACAACTAGCTCTTTGAATAATCATAGAAATGATTTGAATAATCATAAGAAAGAATGGAAGGACTTTAGAGTACTGTTCAAAGTGATTGTCTCAGGGTGATTGAGTTGTCTTCTTTTTAGCATTCTTCTCGACGTTTTTGAATTTTTCTAATGATTATGTGTTACCTTACAATTATACTTAAAACATTTTTTAAAAAAAATGACTAGCTTGCTTTCCATTGGTACAACTCCAGCTAATATTAGAAGCCTCTATGGCCAGGCCCAAGGTTTTCTTTATTGCCTGTATTGAACACTACCTTGTGCATTTCACAAGTTGTGGTATTTATAGCTGCTTGTTCCAGAAGTACTTGGCAAGAATTGGTCGCTTACAAGCTGATTTGATTTTGTTTTGTTTTTAGTTATTGTAACCATGATCTGTAGCACATTTCCCAGTTCAACCATTTTGACATATACTATTCAGTGACACAGGTGACATTAACTGTATCATGTTACGGTCACCAGGATCCATTGCCAAGTTGCTGCGAGTCGTGTTTGCTTAGGACTCAGCTGCATGTGGCCTAAGTGTGCTGCTCTTACTCATTACTCCAAGACTCCACCTGGTCTATGCATTCTGTGTATCGAGAATCCTAAGGCTTATAAATACAAATCGAGGCCACGGCCTACTTTCCTTCTTTAGTGTGGAAAATAAAAATCTGAGGCTCGATGAAGTATCTAAGAAAACCAGTGTGAATGTGGTAATATGTGACCTTCAGGGAAGGAAATTTCCAACCAAGATAAAATTTTGCAATGATGCCACCTGTTCCAGGACTTCACAGCGATAAACTCCTGTGGTCTCTTCGCATAATCATGCTTCGGCTGCTGCTGATTGCTGGGCTAGCTCTCCAGGCGGGTTGGTGCCAACCCTCCCACTGGGAATCCCCTACTTACCTCTACATCCTTAGACCATCTTTATGTTCCTGAAGTTACTCCGCGCATAAGAATGCTATTGCAGAATGAAAACGCTAACGTAACTCAGGACTCAGTGGAGGACAGGGAGGCCTTGCATTCCATGCAGAAGGGAAGGCTGTTTGTTTAAACGACGTCTTACTGCCTGCCCTGATCTTGTTAGTGGATGCAGGGGAAGGAGGGGGTGGGGCAGGCATGGTTACCTCTGACCGCCCAATGCGATCTGTGTTGGAAATGTCATACACATCTGCCACGGCTGCAGTGTCCACACCACCTGTGCCCCGCTTCTGGAGCCTCAGGTTCTCCAGGATCTTGGAAAACCGGGGGTCCTTGGACAGGGGGAACACTTAATGTTAGAGGAAGTCAAGCAGATTTGGACGCATCCATTTACGGGTGGGGGGGGGGGGAGCACTGTGAGACTTATCAATAGTTCATATTTCTTAAGCCTTCACTCAGTAGGGACCTGGGTATTGTGCTGGAACCCCTAACCCTTACGACAGCCCATGAAGAGCTACTACTCGCATCGCCATGTCCCAGGTGAGGAACCTGAAGATGAGAGGAATTAACTTGCCCAAAGTCCTCCGGCCAGCAGGTGGCAGAGTTAGAATTGAACCAGGTGGTAGTCTGGTTCCAGACTATGTTCTGACCTCCTACACCGCCGTGGGAGCAGCCAAGTGTGTGAACTGTTCATCGAAGTAACAGTTGCCATGATAAAATAAAACCACAAAGCTATCTTACCTTAAATCATGCTACCACTGGAATTTCAAATGACAAAGGAATGCCATACTTTTATTTGTGGTGGAGGGAGGAAATGAAGCACGCTTTCTACACATCTTTTAAAGTATGTGATTGGTGTGCTATGGAAGAAACTACTAATTGCCCACCCGAAACCTTTCTCCTCATCTTATAGAGTTGTTGCTCAGTAAATCCTTGCCAATGGACAAGCAGAACTGGGCACGGGGCACACCAGTAAACTCTTTCTTCTCCCACAGACTGGAACAAAGGGCCTGATTATGTTTTTGGAGACAATGCCCTGAGGCAGAGTGTCTTCCAAGGTGGTTTCAGACCAGCAGCATCAGATTCACCCAGAGGCTTGTTGGAAACGCAAATTCTTTAGCTGAGTCCCAGCACCACTGCCCCAAACAGGTTAGGACCTTGAGGGTCACTATGAGGCTGAATCAACTACTTAGACAGACTAGTGCTTCTCAAAATGGGCCATCCTGCCCCTGGCCAGCACTGGAATGGTCAGGGGCTGCAAAAGCCCCTGGATGATGGGCTGCATCATAAACACTTTTAATTGCTGGGGGTCGGGTGGGGGTAGGGGCTGAGTAATGTTTTTCTGAAACGGGGACCGCTGGTCAAATACTTAGGGCAGCCCCATAGGACAGGGTAGAACTGCCCCTGTGGGTTGCTGAGACCGTAATTACTTCGGGAAGTAGAAAGTCTCCTCTTTTTCAGAAGGGGCAGCTGGTGGTTTCAAACTGCTGACCTTGAGATTAGCAGCCCAACACATAACCACTACCGACTGGATGGCAGAGTTTGGGGTATTTTTTGGTAGGGGAGAGGCCAAATTTGTCTGGGAACCTGTGAGCCAGATGGCCAAAGTTTTGGTTTTGCAGAAACGGAATGGAAGGGACCACAAGGAGCTGAGCTGCTTGGCTTGAAAGAGAGGGACCATAAAGTTCCTGCCCCCGAAGGCACTGTCTTTTTGGTGCAGCCACTTAAGCTTTCATCCTAACTGCCACAGATGTCTTCCGAGGCAGGCTGAACTCTTCCTCATTATTTTTCTGGGACAGGTGAAGAAAGCAAAGGGTAAGGAAGGGGCAGTGATGTTTTCTCCCTCCCCCAAGCAGCCCATTTGAGCTAATCTGGGTGAGCCGCAGCAGGGCTTCTGGTTAAACAGCATACCTTACTGAGCTTTGGGATCCTAACGTGGACACCGGCTCGCAATCCTGTTCCAAGATTGGAAGGGCAGGTCAGGATGTACCCCAGGCGCTCATTCCACATGAACTCCCAGCCTCGGGCTTGGATTAGCCGTTCTACCTACAGGTAGAACAACAATGAACAAACAGCAGAGTTCTTGTGTACATTTATTCAGCACACACCAACAACCATGGTCGGACATGTGTGCTACCTGTTTGCCTTGAATGACATTTAGGTGAGTTTCAAGTACTTATTGAATAGACAGGAACTCTGGTGGTGCTGTGTGATGAGTGGTGAACTGCCGCCCACAAGGTTGGCAGTTCAAACCCGCCACCCGCTCCTACACAGAAGTAAAATGAAGCTTTCCCTGGAAAGATTTAGTCTTGGAATCCCTATGTTGCTGAGTCATAAGTAGTAGGAATCAACTTGATAGCAGTGCTTTTGTTTTTAAACATAGAATGAGCCATCTTCTACCAGAATTTTAAAGTGGTTCAACTAAAGATGAACCATGTAAAAACATGGGGCACCATAGCATGCACATACTAAGTCCTCACTAATGTCAGTTTCCATTACTGTTTTCTATACCAGGACAGTAGGAGAATATAGAGATCCTCAGCTGGTTAATTAGTGGTCAGGGGAGCTATGAACATATTTATATCCTATCCTGTCTTTAAGCTTAGAACAAAACCCACTGCCAACTTATAGCGACCCTGAAGGGCAGGGTAGAACTGCCCCCGTGGATTTCAGAGACTGTAACTCTCTACAGCTCCTCTTTCTCCACAAAGCCCTGGATGGTTTCAAACTGCTGCGCGTGCAGCCAGCAGCCCAACACATAACTCACTACACCACCAGGGCTGGACTTAGACTAGCCAGGAGTAAGGTCAGGGAAATGTGACAATCATCCGTGACTCACCGACTTCCCCCAAACCCTTCTGCATCAGCGAGGATGCATGGGTGCTGGCTAAAAACAAGGACATATCAGCTGCTCTCTGAAGCACCGCCAGGCCACCATCACACAGTGAGCAGGGGCACTGGCGTGATGAAAAAAAAAAGTCTTTGGTGCCACTAGCCTATTTCTCACCAAATGCAGTTTTCAATTTTCTAAAAACTTCTTCCTAATAAACTTCCCTGGTTGTCTTGTATCCTGTGCTTCAGATCCCTGGGGAAATGCAGCCCCATCCTGGCAGTCATCATAGTGCCTTCTTCTCAGCATGGAAACGAAAAAGATCGTCTTCTAATGAATATTCAGAAATCTGGGAAATAGCCTTACTTCTTTTAGTCCACGACAGAATCGCTCAAACACTCTTTTCATATTGCCGCCTTTTTCCATAGAGATCACCCTGGTGTGATCTTCCTCATTTATCCAGATGAGAAATGTCTTATCGTGATTATGCCTAATGAACAAAGAAAGACAGTGTTGCGTGTTCATTGCATTTGTGTTAACACATGAACATTGCCATTGTCTCGGTAGCTTCATTGCTTCATTCCACCTTCCTCACTTCCTCGCAGGCCTTAATCTCTGACTCGCTTGAACAAGAGCCACAGCATAATGTTACCCCCACAGAGAGGAAGATAAGGACAATGCACCCCTTTAGCCCAACAAGAATACCATCCTCCCGGTTCTTCAGAGTAGGAAGGCAAGCATTCAACGCTGATAACTGTTTTGAGCTCTGACACAATCAAGAGTATTTTTCTCTCCTAACAGATCCAAGCAAAAAGTTTGGGGTGCATTTGGAGGGGAAGGTTGTAGCTGATGCTCAAGATGGTAGGGATACAGAAGCGCTCACTTAGATTTTCTACTGTTGTCATGGTGGTTAGGTGCCATCCGGTCGGTTCTACCCACAGCAACCCTCCCTCTGCACCACACCATGAAACACTGCTCCACCTGCACCATCCTCACAATTGCTGGTACTTCCTGTCTACTCACCTCCCCTGAATAGCTGCTCAGGAACCCTTTCAACTCAGCCCCTCCCGGCACAGTTATGTGGGTAAGTATTGCCACAAAATCATAGGACACCTTTACATAAACATATCAAAATGTGACGCTGTTGTTTCTTGATGTAGTCTCCACCTAGGTCTATATATTTCTAATACTGGCGTTTCCATCTCACTAACCCCTTCACCAAAGAGTTCTGTGAGCTTCGCTTCATGCTACGTCAACACTCTACTCTGGGCTCCTCCAAAATCTCCAATCTGTTCCTTGTCGGTGTTCTTTGAGTTTCCGGAACCAAAATAAGTTCGAAGGGGGAAAATCAGGGCTGCTGGTGAGGTAAGGATTCCCAACAAATTTATCGCAGGATGGTCGTTACTACCATCGAAGAATGAGCAAGTGCTTTATCACGATGGCGGGGGAAAAATCCTTGGTACCACTAGCCTATTTCTCACTGATGCAGTTTTCAATTTTCTAAGAACTTCTTCCTAATAAACTCCAATGGTTTTCTTGTATCCTGTGAAACCTTTTATCAAGATGACCCCTTCGGAACCTCCCCAGTCACCCTAACGTGCTGAGCTGAGTTCTCTGCCTTGGATTTAAGTGGCCCAGCAATCGGACCCCCTTGGAAGCCACTGGATTAACTGGACTTGGTTCTGTGGATCATATTAGTGATTCCAATACTCATTTCCAGTTATACCTTGGTCCACAAAATAAACTTAATTAGCTTCAATCTGGCCAATCTGACGGCTTGGATGACTCTTGGAGCGAGCTGATCTTCGAACGATTCCTTTGGCTCCCATAGAGCCAAAAGCTTGCCGCGGCCCAGATGGTCACTTAAAATGGAAAATGCCAAACCACGTGAGATCAGGAACTTCAGGATCTGTCCCATAAATACTAGCTTTATGGTCTTCTTTCACCTACTTCTGGATGTCGGCCACAGTTTCTTCAGTTATTAAGTTTGATGGTCTTTGCGCTCTTGGTTCATCTTTGAGGTCTCTCCCGCCTTCCTTAAAGTATTTGATGCATCTAAAAACCTGCTGTTTTGTCAGGCAGTAGTCCCATATACTTCTTGCAAAGCTTCAGTGATTTGGGAAAATGTCCATATGACTTTTGCTAAAAATCTGATGGGCTCTGACCTGAAAATGACTTTTTTCCTGTGGCAAAAAAGTGTGCTCTTTTTGAAGGCACCCGAAGGGGACTAAGACAAATGTATTACTGATGTAGCTCATCCGCACCCACCCTCCATTGCAGAGGCATGCTTAAACAGGGTTGTCCGAAATAAACCTGAACCCCGAGAGCAATGTGCTTCACTTCCTCCCATAAGAATCTACCAAGCAACAGGGTTCAAAGTGGATGAGGGTAGTGGGTGAAGATGAATTATGTATACCTCCCTACCCATTCTTCCTTTTAGGGTTTGCTTAAATCCTTTAATAGTTATTTGCCATATTTGCATTCTTTGCTGCAATGCCACAAAACAGAGACACAAATAAATCATAAGAAGTTGAGGGTTTCTTTTTGTCTTTTTTCCCTTACAGAAGCGGTCTCCTTTCTCATGCATAGCTCTCGCGGGCACACCTTAGAAGCATCACAGTGGTTACACACACAGCTTCCAAGCGCTCTGTCTTCTCCACTCAGCTCAAGCTGGGCATGCTGTCAACTGCAGTTCACAGCAACTTCAGGTGAGGCCAAGCCAGGCGACCAGAAGGAGATTCTCCGCACACACTGCAAACACGGTAATGCTATGTCCATACCAGATTCCCCTGGCATCTGGCCAGTCACGGGCCATCCCGGCACATGTTAGTAAAGGGGACACTGGCTTATCAAACAGAAAGTGGTCCTGCAGGCCAAAAGGGACAAAGCAGAGAGAAGGAAAGACTGAGATCAGAGAGGGCTGTCAATGCTAGGTGGCCATTATTCCACTCATTCCTGATCGAGCACTCTTTGGCAAGGGTTCATATATATATGCATATATATATGATTCTGACTGAATTATATAAAGGTAGCCTGTGCGTGAGGGCTTTTAAAAACTCTTCCGTTGATTCAGTGTGCAACCAAGGTTCACAAGCCTTGCCTTGGTCTAGATGGAGATACCTACTCACTAGGCACTCTGGAGTCCACTCCCTGTACCAACTGCATGCATTGGCCAAGGGGACAGTGTTAATGGACCCTACCCCTAAAGGTTTGTTTGTGCTACACAGTAGCTGTTCTTTCAAATGCTAGCTAGCATTATTGGTTCATTTATTATTATCATCCCTTTTATTAAAAACGCACTCAAAATATAGTGATGATCTATAAAGGAAAAAACATTGCTAGCATTCATTTTATCTGCCAAGCTCTCTGCCAGGGGTTTGTACGTCCATCCCTTCCTTCTTACGACCACTCTATGAGGTAAGAGTGGAAACTGGAAACCGCTGTCAGACAACCTAGATTTGCAGGCATCCTTAAACTATGGCCCGCGGGCCACACGCGGCCCACCAAGGACATTTATCCGGCCCACCAGGTGTTTTTGCTCCATTTGTTTTTTTTACTTCAAAATAAGATATGGGCAGTGTGCATAGGGACTTGCTCATAGTTGGTTTTTTAACTATAGTTCATCCCTTCAATGGGTCTGAGGGACAGTGAAGTGGCCCCCTGTTTAAAAAGTTTGAGGACCCCTGACTAGAGCCCAGAGCTATGTGGCTTTCCAGGGGATGCCTTAACCAACCCCACATGCTATCTACATATCCACATCCATGTCAGGACACTGACATTTTCTTGCTATAGGTATGTTAACTTTTCTTGCATAGATATATGCTCACTCTGTAGTGAGATCAATGAATACCATCTATTTTAATATGATTACACAGAGACAAGAAATCAAGAAGGAATGGGGGGGTGACGGGGGGGGGGTGTCCTTTTATAATCTCTAAGAAGGACAGACTTGTGGACTGCCACTGCCCAGGAAACACAATGTCCCTGACACTGGAGACCTAGGGCGGCCACGAGATGGGAGTCGGGCTTGTTCTGTAGCAGGGCAGGTGGTCAGTTGAGCTGCCAGCGACAGAGCAGGAGACCTGCGGCCTGCAGACCACCTAGCTGGCCTGACTGTCCTGAAAATTCGTGTTTGTTGGCATTTGCATCGTTTCTGCTCTTCGCTTGGAGTTTATTTAAACGTTTTTCCTGATCTTTCTGTTTTAGTAGGAGTGAGGAACAAGTAAGGAAGGGACTCAGACGTTGTCTACCCTAGCACCAGAGAGCAATTCACTCTGGAGATAGCCCATGGTGGAGACAGCAGGATTCAAGGGTGGGACACCTGGAAGGAAGATCTCACAAGAGTCTGGGCAGTCCTTCCACCTGGAATTTCCTCTCCAGGTGTTCCCAGCTTTCCTGGCTTCCATGGGACGCCATGGTGGCGGCCTTCAGCTGGGGCCTTAACAGGATTTCCACAGCCCAGCGTTCATCTTGACCAACAGGCAAGGCGATCGATCTTTCATTCACCCCTCAGTCACCCATTCCGAGCAACCGCGATGTCGCATTGCAGTTTCCGCTGCGGATTTGAGCCACACCACCCTCCCATGGCTTGACGAGCCCAGTTTCAGGGCTCGCCTGGCTTTCCTACACCGAGCTTTGGGATCGAGGCTCCGCAAAGCCTGGCTGACCTTGAGCGCCAGTGGGAAGGTCAACCGGCGGATCTGGGTCGCCGAAACACGCCCCCCCAACTCCCCTAGGATCCCGGCCCCCCGCCCCGCCAACCTCCCCTCCCTTTCCCCGGCTCCTGGGCGCTACTCACGTCTATGAGCCGCTGCTGGTCCTGTTCTGTCATCTCCGACAGCTTGTAGTAGCGGCCGGCCAGATCCCCCTTGAGGCCCTCCAGGGCCGCAATGGCCACGTTCTCCACCTCCCGGCGCTCGGCTCGGCTGCAGGCGGGCGGCAGACTCAGCCCGCGGATGCTGCGGCCCGTGCGCACCCGGGAGGACAGCACGTAGCGCTCGTCGAACAGTCCCTGGGTGACCTGGGGGAGCAGAGCGCGGGGCGCTGCTCGTCGGCCTCAGACCCACCCCGGGCCAGGCCCCAGCGGCCAGGATCCCGAGGGGCCTGCACTGCACTGTTCGCTTGCAGGTCCCAACCACTTGCTCTACACCTTCGAGAAAACCCTATGGTCGAAAGGGCCTTTGAGCTAAGGAAAGAGCCAAAACCCAACACCAAACTCCCTGACAGGGAATCCTGCCAACTCTTAGCGACCCTCTAGGGCAGAGGAGAACGGTCCCTGTGGGTTCCAAGGCTGTACCTCTTCAAGGGATAGAGCTAAAGGCAAGCTCACTGCCACTGAGTCAATGCTGACCCAGAGTGATCCTCTTTGGGTTTCCGAGACTGTAACTGTTCAAAGGCGTAGAAAGCCCCACCTTTTACCAGTGAGAGGCTGGTGGTTTCAAACTGCTGGCCTTGAAGTTAGCAGCCCAACTCTTAAACACTATGCCGCCAGGACTCCTGAAGTCAATAGCAGTTTCCTCATATAGCATAATCCTCAGTATGTGTTTTGGGATTAACAAAGGAAAAGGAACTGCTTTAGGAAAGGTGTCCAGGTCTCCCGGACCAGCCTTGCCCTAGGTGTAAGTATGAAGGAAAACGACGACTTTGGGGTCTTCCTAACCTTCTCCTGGGCGCTCCAAGGTGCGTGGGGTGCTGGGAAGCCTCCGGGGAACGTCTGAATGCGGGTGTGTGACCCCTCGCTGGCTCTCCTCACCTTGGGCTCTGGAGCACCAGTGTCATGGGAAGGTGGGGGCCAGCCAGGAGCCTACCTTGGAAGCATCCAGATCCGTGGGGTGTTTCATCACCTTGGGGTCATAGCCATTGTGCCTCAGTTTGATGACGGGGTCAAAAAGCTCAGCAAATACCTGCAGGAAAGAACACATTTCCTCTTTAACGGGTTCACCTAAAAGACACATGTCCATTATTGTCTCCGTGGGCAAAGCTGGCCTTCTCCGAGCGGGGAATTGTTGCGGGAGCGGTTTGGCGGATCGTCATCGTTCTCATCAGAAGCAGCAGCTGACCCCAAGAAAATCACTTGGAGGCCGCTCGCCTCTTGGTTGTGGTCAGGTCACCTACAGCCTGCCATGTTAACTTCCTCCCGTGTGATCCTGCCAAGCTGACTGCCTTCCAGTGGACAGCTGACTGTCCAACAATCCAGAGGTTTCCCCTCAGACTGCTTGCTTTTGTGGGATGAAAGATGCTGCCAGATGAGAGGCTAAGCAGTTTTGTGGCCAACAGGGAAGACTGGGTTCTAGAGTTTAAGCAACAAGTTAAATTTCTGGGAAGTTCAGCAGTACCAGAAAGACACAGAAAAAGCCGGGGTAAAACAGGGACCTCAAACCTGTGAGGCCCAACCCAGCCCAGACTCCCAGGCTCCTGTCTTTTTAGAAGCAACATCCAAGAGAGCTGTGAGGTTCAATCCAGTGAAGTACAGCCAGATGCTCCTTAGAAGTGAGGATGGCGAGACTCCGTCTCACAGACGTTGGACATGTTATCAAGAGAGATCAGTCCCTGGAAAGGACATTGTGCTTGGTAACGTGGAGGGGCAGTGAAAAAGAGGACTCCCCTCACCGATAGGTGGACCCAGTGGCTGCCACAGAGAGCTCAAACGTAAGAACAATTGTGAGGCTGGCACAGGACCCACCCGGCACAGGACCCACCCGGCACACAACAGTTGTTGTGTGGGGTTGCTATGAATTGGAGCGGACGCGATGGCACCTAACACAACAACAGAGACCAGAGCATGTACCACGGGGACAGATAAGAGCTCTCGACACATGGAACCCAGGACAGATAACCCCTCAGGACCAATAAGGGGAGTAGCGATACCATGAGGATAGGGGGACGGTGGGGAAAAAGGGGGAACCAATCAAATGATCGATGTATAACCACCCCCATGGGAGATGAACAACAGAAACGTGGGTGAAGGGAGACAGCGGTCAGTGTAAGATATGAAAATAATAATAGTTTATAATTTATCAAGGGTCCATGAAGGAGGGTAGAGGAGGGAGGAAAAACTGAGGGGCTGATCTTCAGGGCTCAAGTAGAAAGAAATTGTTTTGAAAAGGATGATGGCAACATATGTACAAATATGCTTGACACAATGGATGTATGCATTGTTCTCAATAAAATGATTTTAAAAGACAAGGATCTCTATATATTCTCCTCCCTGGGGGACGGACAACAGAAAAGTGGGTGAAGGGAGACAACGGACAGTGTAAGATATGACAAAATAATAATTTATAAATTACCAAGGTTTCATGAGGGAGTAGGAAGCGGGGAGAGGAGGAAAAATGAGGAGCTGATGCCAGGGAAAGAAAATATTTTGAGAATGATGAGGGCAATGAATGTACAAATGCGCTTTACGCAATTGATGTATGTATGGATTGTGATACGAGTTGTATGAGCCCCTAATAAAATGATTTAAAAAATGATTTTAAAAGAGAGAGAGAAAGATCATCACAGAGTATCCACAGCCTTTCGGAGTCACGGGATGGGAGGCCAGGGAGCCAGCACCGGTTAAGGTTCTGCCCTTGTGAACGAGCCTCTAGTCCTGTTTGTTTCCAGTGGCTGCCTTCCGGGGGACTGCTTCCAGCCCCTGCAGCAAAAGGTTCCAGAGAGGGGGACTTGAGGGAGGGCCAGGGGCATTTGCCATGACCTAAACACTGCTCTTTGTAGAGTTGGGTCAGTGGTGGCTGAGCCAGCTCAGCCAGGAGCAGACCTTCTTGTCCTTCCCACCAAGGACATGAATACCTTGAACTTGGGATTGACCAAGAGGCCTGATGTCCCAAATCTGCATTACAATGGCTATCTAATCAACAATAGATAGGAGACTTCTCAACCTAAGGACACAACAGGGAGCCATTCCCAGACAAAGCCCAGTTCCAGCCACTCCAGATGCTTTGCTGGTGAATATACATCAGTAGTTATGCTTGTTTTTGCCATTTCCTGTGTCAGCTCATCCCAGGAAGGAGCTCAGAGTGCCCTTAGCCGCTGATTGCTCAAAGGAGAGGATACCAGAGGAGTGTCAGAGGGAAGCTGCTGACCCCATTGTTCCAGAAAGCATTCGAGAGGGTGTGCGACTGCGGGCTTCTCGTTATGGGATCCCTTTCTGAGGAAGCCGGCCCCATTGGGAAGGAAGATCAGGACTTTGCACTTTAATCAGATCCCACTCTGAAACCAGCGGGACCAGCAGGGAATTTACCTCATAGGACTCTTCATCACCAGCCACCATGCCCACCGTCTTAATGAAGGGGTGGCCGGGGTTGTCCACACCAGTCTGAATGCACTGGTCCAGGGTGTAGCCGCTGGGTGTCACCTTGTTGCGGAGCTTGGCGTAGATGGCCGGGGTCAGGCACTCGGCCATGCAGTTGTTGTGTTTGCGCAGATCAGGGAAGTCTGCACTGTAGGGAGAGGAGGAAGAGTTTCAGGGAGCAGCTGGTTGGGGGGTGTGTGTGTGTGTGTGTGTGTGTTGGGGGTGGGTTAAGAGGGCCTTTGAGAGTACTTCTCTTGTGACCGGGCCTCACCCAGGCTTCAGGGAGTCTGCGGGTACAGGGAGACTTGGCTAGGAGTCAGGTTAACAGCAGCAACAAAACGTAGTCCCCATGCATTGTCAGAGAAAGGAACCCTGGCTCAGCCCAATGATCCCCAGTCTGCTGGCTGCAGAAACTCATGTTGTGGTTCATGGGAGTAGAAAGTCTCCTCTTTTTCCCTCAGAGAGGCTGGCGGTTTGGAACCTTTGACCTAGGATTTAGCAGCCCTAGGTCCTATAGAACCACTACACCCCCGGGGCTCCGTGTTAAGAGAAGATAGAGTGAAATTAAGTAGAAAACAAATTGAAAGCATATAGACTTCTCTTCCTCTTGCTTCTTCCCTGAAGTTTTGGTAAAAGACAACAGCCACATGGCTTCCCTTAGGCCTGTGGGTGAGGGGTCAGAAATCTTGCAGGGAGAACTCCCTAGACGTTCATGTATTTATCTGTTTGGACCCTGGAATATACAGTCTTTAGAAGCAGGATTTTGCATTATTGAGAACAGGTTGGTTATTGAAACAAAGTCAAACTAAATTCACTGCCATCGACCTAGTTGACTGTGACTCACAGTGATCCTATAGGACAGGTAGAGCTGCCTCTGTGGGTTTCTGAGACTGTCACTCTTTATGGGAACAGAAAACCTCATTTTTCTCCTGTGGGGTGCCTGGTGGTTTGGAACTGCTGGACTTGCGATTAGCAGCCCCATGAATAACTAGTACACTACCAAGGTGCTTTGTAAATATCCAGGAAATTATGAATCTCCCCCTGGGATCATACGGAATTCAGGAATGATCCCTTAGGAATTCCTGAGTGAGATGGCAATGGCCAGTGATTCATAAGAGATCGAGATTCCCACAAGAACCAGTAGATCTCTCTGTGGAAGACCTCACTGATTCTTCTCATCTTTCTCATCCATACCTGCCTGTGCCTCACCATGGCCACTGCTCAGGGCTATGAAAGCACGCCCCTCTCTGTTCTCCCCTGACCCGTCACTCCTCTACTTCCCACCTCAATGGACTTCGAGCTGACACTTAGAGTTACTGCTAGCCCATCACATTTTCCTGCAGACAGTGAGCTGTGAGGGAGGCATGGATCTGGAATCCGGGTTCCTGGGCCGCATTTGGCTACCTTTGCAGTGTAAAGAGCATATTGCTTTGAGTTTCTAAGCCACCATGTCATGATCAGAGGATGTGAAGAGGAATCAAATACATATCCCATGTGTGTGGAGAGCTTGACATATATAGTAAATGCTCAGCTCATGTTCCATTTTAGTAATAATTATAATCCATAGGTTTCAAAGTTATTTGGTCTACTGATTGACCCCTTCTTAGAAAAAAAGAAGTACTCATTGCCAGCCCACGCCTTTGCAAGTTAAAAAAGCTTGTACTATAGCCCACCATCCAGGATAAAGTGTAGGAATCTGCTTTTGTATCCCCCTGGATTATTCTAGCTCCCATCCATTCCCCACCCCCCTGCATGGAGTGGGGAACACGTATAATTCAACTGCCACTACCAGCCCCCAAGTTCCCGCGCAGGAAGGGTGGCAGTAGACTGCTTTGTCCTCTCCACAGGTCATGGTGAATAAGAATGTCTCAAAAGCGATTGTCCTTTTGACTCAGTCATCCTCTTTGGCCAAGAGGAAGGTCGCTTGCTGGCCATTTCTACGAAGGGAGAGCCTATTCTCGCTGGACCCGGAGCGATGTTCCAGCCCAGGGAACTCACCTCGGAGGGAACAGCTTGTGCTGCTCTCGGGCCTCGGCGTACATTTTCTGCCTGTTCACCAAGTAGCCAGTGGTCAGGGCACTGGTGCCCAAGGCGGCGAATAACAGGGAAGCATTGCGGCCAGTGAGCAACTTCGAGAAGGTGCTGGCCATCCTTCCGCTTGGAAGAGTGTCTGCAAAGCAAAGGAGCTAGGTTAGGCCTCTCGCAGGAGGACCCTGCGCCACGAGGCAGAGTGTCCAGCCCAGAGCTTCAGCTCTTACAGATTTTGTGATTTGAAAGATCAGGGCAGGGAGGATGGGTGCTGGGTTCATTGTTGTTGTTTTGTTTCCGGTACTATTTATTTTATTTGTTTAGCTTTTTATTGAACCTTGGGTGAGTGCTTATAGAGAAGAATGGATTCCATTCAACAATTCATATACACTTTGATTTCTGGCATGGACTGCAATTCCCACAATGTTAATTGCACTCTTCCCGGGTTTAGCCTTTCTGCTCCGTCTTCCATCCTTCCTGCCTTCTAAGCATCATCCCTGGGGAGATGCTTCCCTTTTGATCCTGTGTTGTGATTGTTCTAAGAAGTGTGTATCTCCTGGGTGCTGAGTTCAGTCCTAGCCCTAAAGAGTGTCTAAGGACCTCACAGGCTCCACCTGTCTTTGTTGTTGTTTTTAAGTTTTGTTCCACATTCCGCCCCACCCCACCCCTACTCTATCCCCTTCAGGAGAGTTGGCAGTAGTAGCTGGGTACCATCTACTTCTGGTCTCAGGGTCCCAGGGGCTGGGATTTGCATGGCCCTTTAGTCTTTGGGGCTAATTGTTTCCATGTGTCTTTGATTTTATTCACTGCTCGTTGCTCTGGACAGCCAGTGGCTTCCCCTGAGAAAGCCATGTACAAACATTGTCTTTGTGAACTGTGTGAAGACAACTGACTTTGTGGCCCCCCCAGATGCTGGTCCGAAGCAGCCAGGCCCAATGATGGACGCCCGTAACATGTTTGGTTATTGCTAAGAAGTTTTCATGGCCTTGCCCCATGTGGCCTCCTATATTCAGGGTGTGTGTGCAGTACATATGGCCGCATCCTCTGGCAGGTCTGTAGGTTGTCATGAGTGCTGTCTCATTTCCCTTCTCACTCCTTCCAGTTTTTTTTTTCTCTCCCCTCCACATTGATTTGGAAAATCTGGGCTGTTTTAGCCACTGTGGGTGTCTAAACTACCTGATGGCCATGCTATTTTCTCGACTGATATGATGGGAACAGAAAGAGAGGCTCTCCACTTCTGGCTGTTGGCAACAAGAAGGTCTTTTGGACCCTGCTTTTTCATAACAGCTAGATCTTGAATAAGGTGGATTACTGGGTTCTAACAGAGCAACAGATTTTCTGGGGACCACCCTCCCATTCTACACCACCACCCCCCTCCTCCAGCTGACAGTTGCACATGGAGTGAGAAGCAAGAGGGGTTGAAGGGTCGAAAGGTAAAGCTTGAGGCTACCCATGCTGATGGGGTACGGATCCAAGTCGGGAGTGCCAGCTCTCAGCTTCCCTGGGTGGAAAGGACACACATTTAGGCCCTGATTTCCCCTAGATGAAGATCAAGCAGCAAGTTCCCCATTAAGGATCACCAAGCACCCAAGAGATACTATGAATGAGAGTTAGTAGAAGGGATGACCAGGGATGGAGACTTTCCTAGACAAAAGATGGGAATTGCCAGGCAAGAATGCAGGTGAACGCTGTGTGGAACGTTAAAGAAGTAATGGGTGGAGTCGCCATGACAAGCAAACAACAAGCGACTCGGAGGACCCATCAGCATCAGACCTTCTCCTTCAGCCTCACTGCCATCGAGTCCAGGCCAACTCAGAGACCCGATAGGACAGGGCAGAATTGCCACAGACAGTGAGTTGATAAGACTGTAACCCTTTATGGGAGTAGAAAGCCCCATCTTTCTCCTGCAGAGTGGCTGGTAGTTTCCCACTTCTGATTTGGTGGTTAGAAGCTGTGGTAGTTACATAATTTTTTGTCAACTTGCGAAGGGGTGGAGTTGAGTCCGTCAGTCAGGTTGCAGCTTGATGACCTCGTTTGGAGGTGCAATGGAGATAAATAGCTGACGGAGGCCACATAGACACACTCTCTACTTCATCTTCTTCTTTTTTTTTTTAACATTTTATTAGGGGCTCATACCACTGTTATCCCAATCCATACACACATCAATTGTGTAAAGCGCATTTGTACATCATTCTCAAA